AAAAATAAATAAATAAATAAAACTAACTCTTATAAAATCCAATAAATACATAAAAATACTAAAATGCGATCAAGGGCCCCAGTGTCTTAGTAATTTAACTGCTCCTTGCTCCCATGGTGACCCTTGACTCTGAGTAACTCATACAATGCATGAGAGGACGACTCAGCATAACTACAAAGGTTATATTTAAACTTATAAATAAAATGTTTTTTGTCAAGTTATTGCCTTGGCTTGATGTGGACAAGCAGTCTGCTGTGCCCACTCTTGGTGCCTCAGTGCTTCCACCCACCCTGCCCACAAGCAGATCTACCAACCTGAACAAGTATTTCAACAAGCACAAGGAGTACTGGCATGTCATGTTACCCAGAGAACTTTCCAAACAAGTACCCAAAACCCATCTGATGTCTGAAGGGAGGAGTGGAGGAGATCTGGTGTCCCAAAGAGTCTAGGCCGGGTTCATTTCACAATTCATAAGCCAGAATCACAGACTGTTCTCTTAAACAAGCTCTTCCAAAATATCAACAAAAATGAAGTATATCTGGGGATCCTTAATTAAACCTTTTTCAAATTTAATATATATGTGTATGTAAGGTAGTATTCAGTGAATACCTGAAAAATGTACAAATCATTCATTCATAACTGTGCACGAGTTGTATTCTTCACAGCAACAGAGCTCAGTTAAATTTAACTGTAATTTACAATAAGGTAGTTTTTTTTAAAGATTTTTTTTAAAGTAACCTCCATACCCAATGTGTGGCTTGAACTCACAACCCCAAGATCAAGAGTTGCAAGCTCCACTGATGGAGCCAGCCAGGTGTCTAAGATAAAATTTCTTCTAGTCAGTTTTTCTCTTAATAATAAGCGTCTGTTTGACTTTGTCTATTACTTTTATATTAAGTAGTTTGTATGCTGCATCAAAAAAATATTTATTTGTGGGGCGCCTGGGTGGCTCAGTTGGTTAAGCGACTGCCTTCGGCTCAGGTCATGATCCTGGAGTCCCATACGAGGTGGTCAAACCATTCTTAAACAACTG